AATCATCTCTGCATTTTGTTGCATTTATTCAATTATTTTTCTATGAGAAAGAGAGTGTGTTCGTTGAACAAATAAATTGTAGTGCTGCATTTATTTGTTGTTGATCATTTCATCCTGGGAGATAGACGTTCATATTCTGAAAGCATCGAGGGGAGGACAAATCTATCTTAAAGACACAGTGTCAAACACTGGACTTGATCAGATTATTATTCGAAGAAATTAATCAAGTAAGTTGTTTAATTTATTATTCTGTTTTATTTGTTTATTAAATCAGATTTTAATTTTGTTTTTATAACAAAATAAAATCTGTTTTATTTATTTAATTTTATTTCTAGTTTGATTGTTGTAATCAAACAATTTTCTCTTTTTTCCTTTAATTCTTGTATATTCTGTTTGTTATTAAGTACACAAACAGAATTAATTAGTTACAATGAAGCTTGTCCAACATTTTTTGTGCACATACATATGTTTTAGGAAAATGCTAGAGGTCCCAAATTTTCTACCAAATAAATGACCAAATGTCTTACATGGGTGTGGGGTCCACAAAATTGCGAACCCCACAAATGTCTCACATGGGTGTGGGGTCCACAAAATTACGGACCTCACACCCATGTGAGACATTTAGTCATTTATTTGGTAAAAAATTTGGTGTCTCTAGCATTACCCTATGTTTAATCTTTGAATTTTGCAACTTCATTCTTGTTGGAACAAGGTGCTATGTTGTCTTTAGCTTGTAGTATTGGCATTAATGAAAGTTGACCGGCTAATAGTAAAATAACAAATGAGATACAAAATATGTGCCTCATAGAGTTATTAGTTCTCTAGTTTGTGAATCAGTCTAGACTAGACTAATAAGAGTCTAATAACCTCTGGTAAGTAAATCTATATCCTTGTATACTCTCTCTCTCTCTCTCACAGAAACATGATGGAATAATTCCTATGTATGAGATAAGAAATACAATTATATATAGCATTTCTCAAAATAGAAAGAAAATCCAATTGAATTAATCCTAGTTATTCTGTGTGTATAAATAAGTAAAAGAAGGAAACAATAAGGAACATACACAACATAATTTTCACATTACAATATGAAGAGGTCAATTCTTTCCTTAGCTATCCTAATATTTCACTTGTTTTGTGTTGGAGAAAATACCAGAAATTAAACTATATTATTGATAAATGATGCAAAGAAAATGAGATACAAATAGATCAGGCTGAGGCACGGATATCTCTTTTTCTTTAAGGAGATCAAGCCCACTGCGGTAGGAAGAATCCAAATACCGATGTAGCAATCACAACACTATGACTTGTCCCCTCCAGGATACAACAGCTCGACCACTTGTCGTATAGTTCAGGCCAACTCTGCACAAGATGGTGAACCCAAAGCTCCACCAATAAAACACCCTTCTTTGCTAGTAATCTCTCTTGTATAGAAAATAGTTAATCTGTATAGATAGAAAAGAGTAGACTATATATAGGCTATAAGGACCTTATAGTTACACCAAAAATAATGACCATTAAACAAGAAAATGGTTACACCAAAATAATGACCATTAACCAAGTTCATGAATACTATTTAACCTCCATTTATGACCAAGAGGTTACCAAAGTAATAAAACCCCATTTATGAAAAAGATAAACCAATAAATAAATATAAGATATTAAAAGTGATAAAATATCGGTTACCACCCCGAGTTAAAATTCCTTCAAACTCACACAAATCAGTATGAAATAATTCTAGCAATTCGGTATTTTTTTCAAAACTTTTATGAGGCCTTTTGGTAATTTTTGCTTTATTGCAAATTTCACATTTCTCAAATCTTTTTGTCACTTTAGGAATTAATTCTAAACTACTCATGATTCCCACATATTTACTATTTATATGACACAAGTGAGCATGCCATAAATTAATAGAAGACAACATGTAAGTGGTGTCATAGTAATAATCATAAAATTAATCAGCAAGGAAATTTAAGAGATAAAATTGACATTTATACTTATCTGTATTGTAGGAAGCCACTTTTGCTTCATGTGCTTCGTAGTCTTCATCATTCATCTCCTCGGTTGGGATTTTGTTTGGATTCTTCTCGGTAAGAACATATGCAACTTTCAAAAGGTTAAGGTAAAAGAGAACTTTTCCTTTCCACCTCTTAAAATGAACTCCTTTGAACTTGAAAGACTAGTTGAGATCTCCAATTCCATCATTGGTTTTTTCTGGTACTTGTTCCATGTTTAATCTCCTTAAAATTGTTGGAGAAAATACCAGAAACTAAACTATATTATTGATAAATGATGTAAAGAAAATGAGATACAAATAGATCAGGCTGAGGCACGGATATCTCATTTTCTTTAAGGAGATCAAGCCCACTGCGGTAGGAAGAATCCAAATACCGATGTAGCAGTCACAACACTATGACTTGTCCCCTCTAGGATACAACAGCCCGACCACTTGTCGTATGGTTCAGGCCAACTCTGCACAAGATGGTGAACCCAAAGCTCCACCAATAAAACACCCTTCTTTGCTAGTAATCTCTCTTGTATAGAAAATAGTTAATCTGTATAGATAGAAAAGAGTAGACTATATATAGGCTATAAGGACCTTACAGTTACACCAAAAATAATGACCATTAAACAAGAAAATGGTTACACCAAAATAATGACCATTAACCAAGTTCATGAATACTATTTAACCTCCATTTATGACCAAGAGGTTACCAAAGTAATAAAACCCCATTTATAAAAAAGATAAACCAATAAATAAATATAAGATATTAAAATGGTCCAACACTTTGTTCAATCACCGTGTGTGGGCTTCTCCAATAATCTGTGGTTTATGTGATCGATAGCCTTCCAACCAATTCCGAGCCTTTGCAATTTGGTTGCCAATCGGCAGACGATGATCTTGGAATGTGAACACTTAGAAATGGTCAAGAATTCAATTTTAAATGCGATTTGAACTTTCAAATGACCATTCTCTTCTTCTGTCACTTTTATTGGGTACCAACGGTGTAGTTTTTGATGTTTTTAATCGCAAAATATTCCCTACTTGTGGCGGTTCTAGAATTTAAAATTGAATTCCATAACCATTTCTAACTGTACGCATTCCGGGATCATCGTCTGCGTCACACCCCAAGCTCCGTGACAACGCCGCTCACTCATATAACAGAGCATGCAAGGTTAAGAATCCAATCACATAACCCACAATGTAAAATACTCAAATTAAATCCTTAATTGTCATAATGCCAAAATCCATAAAAATAAATAGTTCTTATATGAAAATGTCCACCAAGTCCACTAATTTAATCCACTAACAAAACAATAATCCAAGTACTTAAATCATGGTCCTACTCTCGGCACTCCCACATGTAAAAAATCATGCGCAGTTCTACTCTTCAGAATCTGAAAAAAATAAAGGTAAGCTAGATAGCCCAGTAAATAACCAACCATCACTGCTAGCTGGATCAAGTATATAAAAATAAATAAATAAATCGATAACCAATAAATATAAATATAATTTTTTCTACAGTTCAATAAATGAACAATTATTTGTAAGGTAGTTTCATAGCGAAAAATAAACAATGTACAATACATTTTAAATGAAAAGCCAACAAGGTAATTCAAAGTAATTCGTTGTTCAAATTGATGGTTCGATATTCAGATGGTTCAATGATTTGATTCACAAAACCCAAGTCTTAATGACTATGGTTACTTAGCCCGTGACAAGGCTCAGAACCACATATAGGCCGGTGGTAAAGCCCCAAAAGAAACTAGTTTATGTGCCAATAAATAACCCCCATTGGCTAGGGTCCAAATCATAGTCAGACTAGAGTGATGTTCAAAATTCAAACAATACACAACTTTTAAATAAAACATTCGATATTTTCAGAATAAACGTTTAGTACAAATTTCAGAATAGTTTCACCAAATATTCTAATAATTTTCATAATAATATTCGATGTTGTTTTATACTTGACCCATATTTTATTTTAAGAGAACATGAAGGCTATAAATAAATATTTATGATTTTAAATGATTAGGTAGGAATAAAAAAAAATGAACCAACTGTGATAGAGCGTTACTTACCTTAAACAGCTAAAATAATATTTCCCAAGCTAATCTCAAATTACCAAGATCCACCTCAATCTCACAAACCTAATAAAATATTACACCGCTTAAAAAATTATTATGTGCACCCATCCATCTCTTCTTGTAACAACAATAGAATAAATTATCCCAATAGTCTATTAGGAACTCCCATAATTTTAGCATCAAAACAAAGCCATCACGGCTTCAGAAATTCTCAACCCATATTATTCTATTGTTGTTTATATACATGTAAAAATTTGTAATTTCTTGTAGTCAATCGTGTATCCCACAAATACACCACCACTAAACTTAACCCATCACATATCAATCTCAAAATATGAACCACCCAAACGGGATGCAAAATACACTCTAAAATTGAGCAAAATCGAGACCCCCAACATAGACTACATCAATATATCTATTTAATCATATATGCCCATAAAATCTTCTATTGATATATTAACACCAAAATCATAGATAAGAATACAATAAAATAAATCTTACCTTAAGTGATGAATAAAGAAAAATCACCACTCTATGAATCCTCCTTCTTCACTTTGGTTTTGTTTTGTTTTCTTTAATTTTTCTTTTACCTTCTCAAACCCTAGCCGCCTATGGAGCAATTCACAGCCTCTATTTGGTTTGTTTCCCAAGACTTAAACTCACAATAGGTGGGCTTATTAACCTAATTTCTCAAAGTTACAAAATTACCCATCTAAGTAATAGAAAATATAATGCCATCTCATAACTAATTCTTTGATATTAATAAATGACCCATATAAATTAATTTAGTTACTAATCTATCCAATAAAATAATCCTACACACAACTTGGGTTTTACATTCTTCCCATCTTAAAAGAAATTTCGTCCTCGAAATTTGACATACCTGTAGTCTCAAAAAGTTGTGGATACTTTTATCTCATTTCATCCTCAAGTTCCCAAGTAGTTTCTCTCTCCGAGTGATTACTCCATTGAACCTTAACGTAGTGGATGACTCGACGTCTCAAAACCTGCTCCTTATCAACAATTCTTACAGGGTGTTCCTCATAGGTCAAATCCTCCTTAAACTGTAACGGTGCATGATCAATCACATGATTAGGATTCGGTATATACTTCCTCAAATCGAAACATGGAAGACATTATGAACTGCAACTGGTGAAGGTGGTAGAGCAAGTCTGTAAGCTACCTCACTAATTCGATCTAAAACCTCAAATGTCCCAACAAATCTAGGACTCAATTTACCACGAACACCAAACCTTATTACTCCTTTCATAGGAGACACCTTAAGGAACACATGGTCTCCAACCCCAAACACCAAATTGCGTCTCCTGTTATCTGCATTACTTTTCTATCTACTCTGTGTCGTGCAAAGTCGCTCTCTAATAAGATTGACCTTGTCCACTATTTGTTGCACAATCTCAGGCCCTAATAACTTCCTTTCACCCACATCATCCCAACAAATAGGTGATCTACACTTTCGTCCATATAAAGCCTCATATGGTGCCATCTGAGTGCTCGCATGATAACTGTTATTATAAGAGAATTCCACTAAGGCCAAATGCTCATCCCAAGAACCTCCAAGATCAATAACACAAGCCCTCAACATGTCTTCCAAGGTTTGAATAGTTCTCTCTGACTGTCCATCAATTTGAGGATGAAAGGCAGTGCTAAAATTCAAACTAGTGCCCAAAGTTGTATGCAAACTCCTCCAAAACATAGATACAAATCTGTTATCTCTATCAGACACTATGGTCACCAGAATACCATGCAACTTCACAATCTCCTTGATATACAATTTTGCAAACTTCTCTAAGGAGAACCCCACCTTAAAAGTTAGAAAGTGAACGGATTCGGTCAATCGATCAACGATAACCCAAATAGCATTGTTACCACCTTGGGTCCTAGGCAGCCCCGTCACAAAATCCATGGTAATATGTTTCCACTTTCACTCGGGAATAAGAAGAGGTTGTAACTTACCTGCAGGTCTCTGATGTTTAACTTTCACTTGTTGACATACCATACATTGAGCAACATACTGAGCAATTTCCCTCTTCATATTATTCCACCAAAAGTTCCTCTTCAAATCTTTATACATTTTAGTGCTCCCTGGATGTACAGTATACCCTGAACTGTGAGCTTCTCTCAGGATTTCTCTCTTGAGCTCTAAATCATTAGGCACACACAACCTCTCTCCAAATCTCAAGGTTCCATCTTTATCCATACAAATTCCATCTGTAGCCCTATTTCCATTTCAGCCTTAAGTTTTTGCAACTGAGGATCTCTTTCCTGGGCATCTTTAATTCTATCAATCAATATGGGTTGAACTCTAAGGTTTGCCAGCTGCACTCCATGGCTATGCCATCTAATCTCAATATTCAACCTCTGCAAGTCCTCCAAGATATTCTTTTCGTCAGTGATCAAGGTAGCCAAATTACTCGGGGTCTTTCTACTCAAGGCATCCGCCACTACATTGACTTTTCCTGGATGATAATTAATAGTCAAATCATAGTCATTTAGTAGCTCCAACCATCGCCCTTGCTTTATATTCAATTCTTTTTGAGTGAAAATATACTTCAAACTTTTATGATCAGTGAATATCTCACATTTCATCTCATACAGGTAGTGCCTCCAGATTTTCAATGCAAACACCACGACAACCAACTCCAAATCATGCGTAGGATAATTCTGCTCATATGGCTTCAACTGCCTAGACGCATATGCCACTAACTTATCATTCTGCATCAGGACACAACCCAAGCTCATCTTCGTTGCATCACTATAGATGGTAAAACCTTCATCTCCGAACAGAACTATAAGTACTGGAGCACACACCAATCGACTCTTTAGATCTTGGAAACTCTTCTCACAATCATCAGACCACTCAAATTTAACTCCTTTTTGTGTTAAACGAGTCAAAGGCATAGAAATTCGAGAAAATCCCTCAACAAACCTTCTATAATATCCTACTAAACCTAAGAAGCTACGAATTTCAGTGACACTAGTAGGCCGATTCCACTCCATCACCGCCTCCACTTTCTTGGGGTCAACAGATACCCCATCTTTAGATATCACATGACCCAAAAATGATACACTCTCCAACCAAAATTTACACTTCTTCAATTTAGCAAATAACTTCTTCTCCCTTAATATCTGCAACACTATTCTCAGATGTTCTTCGTGCTGCTCTTTACTCTTCGAGTACACAAGAATGTCATCAATAAAAACTACCACAAACTGATCTAAGAAGGGTTTAAATACTCTGTTCATTAAATCCATAAAAGTTGCAGGCGCATTGGTCAACCCAAACGGTATCACTAAAAATTCATAATGCCCATATCTAGTTCGAAAGGTTGTCTTAGGTATATCTTCCGCCTTAACCTTCAACTGGTGATAGCCAGAACGAAGGTCAATCTTAGAAAAGTCTTGTGCTCCTTGCAACTGATCAAATAGGTCATCTATCCTAGGCAAAGGATATTTATTTCGGATTGTCACCTTGTTCAACTCGCGATAATCAATGCAAAGGCGAAAACTACCATCCTTCTTTTTCACAAATAAAACGGGCGCACCCTAAGGAGAAACACTAGGCGTAATAAAGCCCTTATCTAGTAACTCTTGTAACTGTTCCTTCAACTCTTTCAACTCTGTTGGGGCCATCCGATACGGAGCCTTGGAGATAGGACCCTTGTCGGGTATCAATTCGATGGCAAACTCAATCTCTCTATCTAAGTGGCAACCTTGGTGACTCTTTAGGAAAAACATCGTGAAATTCCTTCACAACTAGAATATCCTCTATCTTCAATTCAGTCTCACAGGTATCTCTCACAGAAGCTAAATAACCCTCGCAACCATTCCTCAACAATCGTCTAGCTTGCAAAGCTGAGATTATCAAAGGAGGAGTGTTAACTCCACTACCCACAAAACAAAATTTTGGTCGATCAGGAAATTGAAATACTACCCTTTTGCCTCGGCAATCAACAAAAGCATAATTGGTTGCCAACCAATCCATTCTAAGAATTATGTCAAAGTCCTGCATATCTAAAACAGTCAAGTCTACAAGCAATCTCCTGCTATCTATACTAACCACACGAGATTTGCCAATGTCTCCTCATGTTTCATTGCAACCTATATGTATCAGTAATAAAACCTCATCTTATTCTATTCTTAAGTCCCTATAACATGTAAATAAAGTTAACATTATATCAAATTATAGGCGTTCCCAATCCTATATCTACCCAAGCTCAGCACTATTCTATACTAGCCTTTAAAATTACAACCTGGCTCTGATACCACAAAATTGTCACGCCTCAAGCTCCGTGACAACGCCGCACACTCATATAAGTGAGCATGCAAGGCTAAGAATCCAATCACATAACCCACAATGTAAAATACTCAAATCAAATCCTTATTTGTCATAATGCCAAAATCCATAAAAATAAATAGTTCTTATATGAAAATGTCCACCAAGTCCACTAATTTAATCCACTAACAAAACAATAATCCAAGTACTTAAATCACGGTCCTACTCTCGGCACTCCCACATGTAAAAAATCCCGCGCAGCTCTACTCTTCAGAATCTGAAAAAATAAAGGTAAGCTAGATAGCCCAGCAAATAACCAGCCATCACTGCTAGCTGAATCAAGTATACAAAAATAAATAAATAAATTGATAACCAATAAATATAATTTTTTCTACAGTTCAATAAATGAACAATTATTTGTAATGTGGTTTCATAGCAAAAAATAAACAATGTACAATACATTTTAAATGAAAAGCCAACAAGATAATTCAAAGTAATTCGTTGTTCAAATCGATGGTTTGATATTTAGATGGTTCAATGATTTGATTCACAAAACCCAAGTCTTAATGACTACGGTCACTTAGCCCGTGACAAGGCCCAGAACCACACATAGGCCGGTGGTAAAGCCCCAAAAGAAACTAGTTTCTGTGCCAATAAATAACCCCCATTGGCTAGGGTCCAAATCATAGTCAGACTAGAGTGATGTTCAAAATTCAAACAATACACAACTTTTAAATAAAACATTCGATATTTTCAGAATAAACGTTTAATACAATTTTCAGAATAGTTTCACCAGATATTCAAATAATTTTCATAATAATATTCGATGTTGTTTTATACTTGACCCATATTTTATTTTAAGAGAACATGAAGGCTATAAATAAATATTTATGATTTTAGACGATTCGATAGGAATAAAAAAAAATGAACCAACAGTGATAAATGGTTACTTACCTCAAACAGCTAAAATAATATTTCCCAAGCTAATCTCAAATTACCAAGATCCACCTCAATCTCACAAACCTAATAAAATATTACACCGCTTAAAAAATTATTATGTGCACCCATCCATCTCTTCTTGTAACAACAATAGAATAAATTATCCCAATAGTCTATTAGGAACTCCCACGATTTTAGCATCAAAACAAAGCCATCACGGCTTCAGAAATTCTCAACCCATATTATTCTATTGTTGTTTATATACATGTAAAAATTTGTAATTGCTTGTAGTCAATCGTGTATCTCACAAATACACCACCATTAAACTTAACCCATCACATATCAATCTCAAAATATGAACCACCCAAACGGAATGCAAAATACACTCTAAAATTGAGCAAAATCGAGACCCCCAACATAACTACATCAATATATCTATTTAATCATATATGCCCATAAAATCTTCTATTGATATATTAACACCAAAATCAGAATTGAACATGAGACAGAGACGATGGCTTGAGCTAATAAAAGACTATGACTTGTAAATTCTATACCATTCGGGGAAAACAAATATAATAGTAGATGCTTTGAGCCTTGAATCTATTAGGAATTTGTCATGTTTTCTTATCGATCAGAATAAATTGTTATGTGACTTGGAGAGAAATGAGATTCAAATTGTGTTATGCGAATAGGGTGGAATTGTAGCTGCCATCGTTGCCCAGCTTGCAATTATTGAAGAAATTAGAGAGAAACAACTTGACACAAAATCGAGGCCGGGATTTGAACGCATCTGAAAACTGCCTTATAGGCCTTGAGAGAAAATAAATTGTATGCAAAATTGTCCAAATGTGAGTTTTGGCTTGACTGTGTAACATTTCTGGCGCATGCAATCAATAAAGAGGGCATCTCTGTCGACCTACAAAAAGTCGAAGCTATTGTGGATTGGCCAAGACCAACTAACGTATTCGAAGTCAAAAGCTTTTTGGGACTTGCAGGTTACTATCGCAGATTTGTAAAGGAATTCTCCAAACTTACCATGCCATTGACACAGTTGACACAGAAAAATGTGCCGTTTGATTGGAATGACCAAAGAGAATCTACTTTCCAGGAGTTAAAGACCAGATTAGTGACTACACCAATTTTGACCCTACCTAATAGTACAGTCGAGTTTTAGATTTACAGTGATGCTTCATACAAAGGCTTGGGGTGTGTTTTAATGCAGAATGGGAAGGTAATTGCGTATGCTTCATGAAAACGCCGGCCACACGAGAAGAATTATCCAACCCATGACTTTGAACTCGCAACTGTGATTTTTGTTTTAAAAATCTGGTGCAATTAGCTGTATGGAGTGACTTGTGAAGTGTGTACTGACCATAAAATCTTGAAATATTTCTTTACTCAGAAGGAATTGAACATGAGACAGAGACGATGGCTTGAGCTAATAAAAGACTATGACTTGTAAATTCTATACCATTCGGGGAAAACAAATATAATAGTAGATGCTTTGAGCCTTGAATCTATTAGGAATTTGTCATGTTTTCTTATCGATCAGAATAAATTGTTATGTGACTTGGAGAGAAATGAGATTCAAATTGTGTTATGCGAATAGGGTGGAATTGTAGCTGCCATCGTTGCCCAGCTTGCAATTATTGAAGAAATTAGAGAGAAACAACTTGACACAAAATCGAGGCCGGGATTTGAACGCATCTGAAAACTGCCTTATAGGCCTTGAGAGAAAATAAATTGTATGCAAAATTGTCCAAATGTGAGTTTTGGCTTGACTGTGTAACATTTCTGGCGCATGCAATCAATAAAGAGGGCATCTCTCTCGACCCACAAAAAATCGAAGCTATTGT